CTTAGCCTGTGGTTGCGTGTTTGTAAGTCTACAGCCAGCGCACCTAGCGGAAGTGAACTGAAACGTGCATGTCCACAAACACACAAACCCACAAACACACTAACCAACACTCAAAGACACGCCGGTGAAAACATAACCTCCGCCAAGCCCCTGGCGGAGGTAATAAACACGAAAGCGTCATAGGGCCTATATGACAAAATACACTAACTGGTGAATAGAGCACTAAAATTCTGTCATGGTTCCCTTGGTCTTATATAGCGAATGAGATGCCTTTCCTTACTGGTTAATAAATAAATTCCCAACATAGACGAAAACAAAGCAGCTGTGCTGAACACGTTCTAGTAAAGCTTATTAAGAATACTCTCAACCTTTTGCACAGGTATTGCTCTAATAAAGATTAAACGTTTATTGACGAATGAATCAAATCAATCACTTATTTTATTTATAGAGGAGATATATCTCTATGCTCAAGGCAAAAAATTTCATGAAATTTCCAGCACCTAATCATGTTACCACAAAAATTTTGAATTTTTATGTAAAAATGGTATTTTGGATATTTCTCAATTACCAGAAAGAGTGAGGATACAAAATTTTCGCCACATGTTAGACACAATATGTACCAAAATAGCGCATCATGATTTTTCTTTAAGTTTCATATTTACCGAGAAAAATAAAAAATAACTGCCTAAAATTCAAGTCACACGTTTGAATTTAAAATTTATTGCGACTAAAGAGACATAACTCATAAAATACGGCACTTAATAACAATCCTTGACGCGCTTTTTTACAGCAATATGTTACCATTGTATATTATTAAACGAGTGTAAAATTAAATTATTCCGAGTTGTAATCACAGAGAAATATCCATTTATACATCGACTACTAAGGCTGAGAGGGTCTATGTCCCCGGGGGTACTGCCGGAACGTACCCTGGGTCTATCTAATATGCCGGACCGTACCTCGCCTACTCCACTAACGAGTCTAGGGAGTCGCCTACGCCTACTCCTTAACCCTAACCCTAACTCTAACCCTAACCCTAATCCTAACCCTAACCATATCAAATAGTGACCAGGGTACGTTCCGGTATACCGGACCGTACCCAGGGTACGTTCCGGCAGTAACCTGGGGGACATAGCTACTATAGCACTACATAGCACTACGCTGTCAGAAATTGGAACGGAGAAACCAGCGTTTTTCTATTTTTCACAATGATCGACCGCCTGTGTGAAAAATGAATGAACGTATGTGAAATATCTACTGTTAGTATTTACTGTGACATATCCATGACTAACTAAATTGGTAAAATATTCCATGCACCTTGAGAAATTCTGAGAAATTACGAGGTGACCAACGGGTGGGCATATGTTTCCATGAGACCGACTGATCGCGTGACGTCAGTGTACGTCACGCACGAACTCGGCTATCTCCGATGTTGAATGCATGTACGCATACAGCCTGCTGATGGTGCTGGTGGTTGCGCATGCATCAGACTTTCCGTATATCAAAGAATGATGCAAAAACCCTAACCCTAACCCTAACCCTAATTAAATTTAATTAACACTAATAAATTTAATTTATTAAAAAAAAAAATGTAAAATTGTAAATAAATCATGTAAATATTTGCGTTAATTGGGAAGAAATAGTTAAATTGATAAAGATAGAAAAAAAAAAAAAAAAATAAACAGATGGGATTCGAACCAACGACCTCCAGAAGTAACGGCCGCCGGCGTACGAGCGCGGCTATTCAGCGTAATTGGATTAATATATTATGGATGTGCCATATATGCATACATGGATGTGCGTGCGTGATTGGTCTATGGTGGTGGATAGCCACTGACGTCACACTGACGTACACTGACATCACGCGATCAGTCGGTCTCATCTATAGTCTCATGGAAACATATATCCACCTGACCAACGCAATTTCAT